CCGGTCCACGGTTTGGGGAAGGGCGGGGGGGGGGGGCATGTTTTTGAAGCACGTGGACTCTCGATTTTTCTTTTCTCGAGCTCCGTGGTGGGAGACGCAGCACGTTGGAGCGGCACCCCAGCCGCTTGCTCCTCGCGCCGATCAACAGGAAAACACGCTGAACACATCGTCCGCGCGTCTCCTCAATCCAGACCAACTCCTGCACTGACCATTCCTACGTACATACAGTCAGCACCTCACCTGATGCCACCCCCCTCCCACCCCGCCCCAATCCTGTTTTGGCTTTAGTCGGTTCAACCCATTTGCCGCATCGACTTCGGGCAAAGAACCTTCGAGTAACCTGCTTGTGATTTTTGGGCCGAGGTGGTGACCCTGTCCGGCCAACGCATCGCATCCACGCCGGGACATGTCTGGAATGCAAATCGGATCTTCGGGGACTTGAGGTTCATCCATCGGAGAACCACGCCCGCAACACATCGGCGCACTCGTCGCAGGTGGACGGCGTCAGAGCTGACTACAGTATGCCAATCGCAACCCGTTCCCTTTGGGACTCATTTAGCATTGACGTTAGTCACTTAATTGGCCAATTATAAACAGCACAAACAATGTCGCTGGACGAGATTCGTGTCTTGATTACGCACAAAGCATTAGCAAACAATTCGTCCCGTTCACCAGAGGAAGGAGTGGCGGTTGAACAATTAAGGCCTCGCCTCAACGAGGGCAGGACTCAAGTGAAGGTCACGCTCGTTACAAATGATCACGAGCCGGTTAGGAGGCAACATATAACGTTGGAGCAGGACCAACGGAGACACACATATAGATACGTGCGCACACACGCGCGCACACACACAAGCACACACACACATCCTCTGCAGCTCCGCGCAGGGTATCGACAGCGCGGACTCGCCTGAGCCGGCCGGGTAAGTACTTTTCATCTTCTTGAAGTCATTTCACACACATTTGGCTTGCGATTGGTAGAATGGCACGTGAGGGACCGATTTGGTGCGCTTGGTTTTGTTTGTCCAATGAGGTGGTCGAGTTTGGACACCGTAAACCTTGAAGCGTCAATCTTCACAAAACGTGACTTGTCGAATGTGGGAAAGGCTGATGTTGACAACAGTTCAAAAAACGAAAAAAGTCTCGTTTGCGTACTTCACTCCGCAAGAGCAGAAAAGATCAGCCCGGCGTCAAAAACAGTGTGAACAAAGAGAGGTAAAAGGGGAGCATGGGCACAAAGACAACACGCCAGCATTTGTTTGTTTGTTTGTTTGCAGCACTGCGTTCGCTCCGGGCGTTGCTCGGATTTTGCGGGTGATCGATGCACCGGTCCGGACGGTTTGCAAACGGAAGAAGGCCGGGTGTGGCGGGGACCGACATGTGAATGCGTGCCGCGGCCATCGATTGGCTCAGAGCGGTCATTGAAACGGCCGACGGAGGTTTTGTTTGGGAGGGCCGCCATCGTCGCGTGCTCATCGCAGAGCCCGAGGGTAGCCGGAACAGATGCCGGGAGACGTGTCAGCGCACACCCCGGGGCGGGCTCTGGCCCGCCGACATTTAACCCGTCGTCTCTGCGCGACTCGAAACAAAAAGCCGCGGAACCGGTTCGGCTCCTCCGCCGAACAACGGCAACGGTCCGAGTACCAGTGCTGAGGTGCTCGCCCCGGCGCGGCAGAGGCAAAACCCTCCGGACTATTCTCCCCGCGCGGAAGGTCGAAGCGCCACCCGCCAGTTGGCACCGTTTTGTCGAAGCTGCGTGGACTCTCCGGACTGTTTCGAGTCGTTGTCTTCGGGCTGGACGCAGGAACGGCGAGAGGTCCGGCTGGGACGGGGCATCCTTTCCGCTCCTGTCCATCCCATCCGGAATTTGGCACCCCCTCCCGGCCAATCGACCGCATCCAGTTTGATTTCAGCTAAACAGTTTGTCGCAAAAACCCGACTGCACGCCTTACGAATTCGGTTGATGACACGGATACGTGCCGCCCCGCTGCTCTTCCCCAGAGCTGATGTGTCCGACCTACGAACGCGAGAGCGCAGGCACATGTGCGGCCGGGAAGTCGAATCTCGCGCGCTTTCCGAGAGCAAGCTGTCTTGTTACTCGGAGAGCCAAACGTTCCCCGATTCGACTCACTCCTACCCCCCGCTCTTACTCGTTGTTCAAGAAAGCCAAAGCCCAACAGGTTGGGTTGAAGCTCCGGCATCTTTACCGATGTCCAGAAGTTCGCCACGAATGTCACAGAACTGTCATGTTTCGGTTTGTGACCAACAGGTGGCACTGTGGGGCTTTTCCCTGCAGCTGCACACCTGTTGGTCGTTAGGTAATTAGTGCTTTAAAAGGACTCCCAGCCCGACGGGTCGTTGTTTGTGTTTGCTGCTGTCGTGTTTGTTCTCAGTCATATTTCGGTTATGGTTAGCTTTTGCTTCCGTCATGGTTTTGTTTGCTACTTTGGATTCTTTTTGTTTTCAGGACTTTGTTTGCTTCGGATTTAGTTTTCTGTGTTTTAATACAATTCTGTCAAGTGCACCCTGCTCGTCCCTCTTGCCTGCTTTTTGCGGTCCACCACCACCTCGCAACCTGACCGGAACTTTGCGCGACCGGTTCGTAGGAGTATCTTTCTGGCCATTTATGAAGCATAAAGTTCACCCCTGCAACGTCAACTCCCCTTTGTAATAATCATCATACACTGACAGAGACAAGGGAGGGTAAAACAGACATGTTCGTGGTCAGCATTACTGCAGTTTTTCTGACAATTTGCCACTTTTCATTACATCAGAAAGTCCAAGCAGTTTTTTTAGAAAAGAGGAAACATTTGGGGAATCAACGAAATTTTGCCTTCATAACACCTGAGTGTTCTTCTTTTTCTCTGGTCCTCATTTCGACAGGAAATCACCACATTTGCTTTGGCACAACAGGGGACAAAAAAGCATGACAATGATTCTTAAGACCTTGGTTTGTGTACTGGTGTTCTTTGGTAAGTAATCTGAAGGGAATATTACAATCCAGAGCTTTGTGTCGCGATGTTAGATATCTGACAAAAGTGCTCCATTGAAACAGGAACCATGGCTGAGGGACTTGAGCGACATGGCGCCAGTGGTCGAGTGCTTCTCCAGGTAACCCCTGACCCCCAGGATCCCGACGCTTCGGCCAGTGTCACCCCACCACCCGACGGTCTAAGCACTGACCCCCCGGGCCCCGACACTTCGACCAGTGTCAGCCCGACGCCCGACGGTCAAACCACTGACCCCCCGGGCCCCGACACTTCGACCAGTGTCACCCCGACGCCCGACAGTCAAACCACTGCCCCCCCGGGCCCTGACACTTCGACCAGTGTCACCCCACCACCCGACAGTCAAACCACTGCCCCCCCGGGCCCCGACACTTCGACCAGTGTCACCCCGACGCCCGATGGTCAAACCACTGACTCCCCTGGCCCTGGCGGTACAACCGATGAAAGCCCGACATCTGACGACACACCCACGACTGAAAGCACAACCACCCCAACTCAAGAAACCGTTCAAGAAGTTGCAATCCGAAGATCAGCAGAGACGGCCGTGGCGGCGTCCTCCACTGCAGCATCGACGGCAGCGTTATTGGCCAGCTCAGCTGCGGCGGCAACGGCCGCAGCTTCAGGGGGATCCTCACAAGCAGAAGCGGCGGCGGAAGAAGCTTCGTCGGCTGCCGAGGAGGCAGCCGATGCTGCGCTGGAGTTTTCACAAGGCGCAATCAGTGCAACCGCAGCAGCGGAGGCGGCAGACAATGCAGCGGCCGCTTCCGAAATTGCCGCCACAAGAGCGCAAGAAGCTGCGGACGGAGCGAGCGGGGACCTGGCCCCGCTTGCGGGACAACTCTCGGCGGCGGCCCAAAACGCGGCAACGATAGCGAGATCAGCCGCGATGACGTCTGCCCTAGCGGCAAATGTTACGGGTTCTGGAGTCACGGCGGAAAATGCAGCATTGATCATCGAAGAGGCGAGAAATGCCACTCGAGAGGCCGAGATGGCAGCGCAAGAGCTACAAGAGTTGCTCAATGAAGCAGACCTCCCGCCAGATGTCGAGGCCAGCGTAATACGGGCCATTGAGGCGGCCAACAGCTCGGCTGCCTTGGCACAACAAACGGCAGCGCAGGCTCAAGCTGCGCTCGACACAGCAGACCGAGCTGTGGCGCCAACCGGAGGGGATGCGGAAGCCGAGTTGGCTGGCGAATTAGCTGTCCAACAGATCCAGAGTGCCGCACAAAGCGCGGCGGCGGCGGCGGAGGCTGCCGGAGTGTCAACTGCGGCTGTCCAAGCCTCAAGGGAAGCCTCCCTGGCGGCGGTGGCAGCGAGCCTCGCCGCCTCGGCGGCGACCGTTACCGCGGCAGGCACGGGAGCGGATCTCGACGATCTCATCGATGCCGCCTTGGACAGCGCAGATGAAGCAAACGCTGCGGCGTTGTCGGTGGCAAACGGAGAAGCGGACCCGGAGGAGGCTCGAGATGCCGCGGCGAGAGCGGCCGAGGCGGCAGAAGCGGTGGCCGAGGCAGCGGAAGCGGCGTCGCCGTCAGGAGGCATTGATGCGGAAGCGGCACAGGTGTCGCTCGACGCGGCGGCGGTGGCCACGCAAGCGGCCATGGGAGATCCAGGAGAGTTTTCCAACACTGCAGAACAACTTTTGATAGTGTCAAGAGAAGCCGAAGAGCTATTTTCGCGCGAGCCGTCATCCACGCTTACCCCGGAACAGTTTGCAGCCATTCAGGGTGCAGGAGAGGTCGCGTTGCTGGCAGAGGTTGCCGCAATCACCGCCGAATCGGCAGACACTTTATCAGGCACACAGAGTTTAGTGAGGGTTGCAAATGTGACAACACAATCGGCGAGGGACGTGGTGCAAAACCTTCCGGAGAGAACGGCACTCAGCTTGGCGCAGGAGTCATTAGGGGTCGGCTTGACCGCCTCAGCCGCTGCTATCACCGCGACGTGCTCGGCGGCGGCGGCGGCGGCCGGCTCAGGAGCAGAATCGGCGGCCAGAGACGCGTTAATGGCCGCAGAGGACGCGGCGAACGCCGCCATCTCACTGACTAACAGTGAAGTTACCCTGACCTCGGCGGTGAACGCCGGACTCGCGGCCAGTAACGCAGCCGGCGACGCGGCCGACGCAGCCGCGGCAGCATCTGATAATGGATCAGCCTTGGACGTAGAATTGGCAAACGTGGCCGCGGAGGCGGCCGGAATCGCTTCCAGGGCGACGGCGGCGGCGCAAAACGTGGCCTCTGCCACCGTATCGACGCAAACCATCATGGAGGCCCGCGAAGTGGCCAGGGAAGTCGACGTCGACTGGAGAGCCTTGACAAGCAGGTTGCAAGGCATGTTGGACGATGCTTCGCAGGGTAACTTTGATGAGCTTATAACTCAGCTGGCCGTCCTGAACGTGGCGTCAATAACGCAGGCGTCCACCGAATCTAGCAGACAAGCGGCAGACCTGGCTGTGATGACGACCATGGCGGGACGACCTCTCGACATGGAGACGGCCACCATGCGGTCTCTGGCCTACGTGGCGGCCTCGGCTGCCAATTTCGCAACGAGGGCGGCAAACGCGTCCTTGATCATATCGACGCAAACCAGCGGCGCCAGCGTCCCGATGCTCTCATTCGCCGGCACAATCGCCGCCGCCGTGCTCGCGCTGGTCTTGTGACGTGCGTTTTAAATCTTGTAAATTTGTACATTTCCACAAGAAATACGTCTTTTCATCTTTGTCTGACACTTGATACTTCATACGATTCGTTCAGTTGCGCCGGCGAAAGATGAACGTGCTTTTGAAAGTCAGTTCTAACGAAAGCGACAACGCGGGCACGAGTTGTGCTTCGACTTCTTTTGGGCCGGACTGCAAACGGCGTTTTGGAATTGGGCGCAAGGCGAAAATCAGAATTCATGAGCGCTAAAGGAGTGACGAGTTGGCCTCTCCTCCCACATGATCGTGAAGCCAAGCGGCGCGTCTGCTGGAAGAAATGATTGTGCGAGGCTTCCGATGTTTCACATGACGTTTACAATAGAAGAAATGGAATCTCAGCGTCATGGCAGAATAGACGCTCTGTTTCACACGCCGACGTTTTTTTTTGGGGGGGGGGGGAATGGCCGCACCGTTGACCCTTTCTTGGCTCGACACTATTAAAAACAAACAAGAAAACCAGACTGAATGTTTCGTTTCTGCCTCTCCATCCACACCACAGCTTGGCCACGCCACTTCGATTTTGACACCAAACCACCTCGGAACAGAAGAGGAATGTCTTGATTGACAGTGGAACAGGTAGAACAGAACTGATGGCTTTCTGAAGGCTCTGTAAAACGCTGTCATGGGTAGCCAATGCGCGCACAAACACACCCACACACACCCATATGGCATTTCACAGTCTGGCAAATGAGCTCACATATTTATTTGCATATTTTGAATGAGTTGACGTCGCATGAGCGGAATGGAGGCTTGACGCATTCCTGCAGTCATGTTTGAAGCTCCCGCGGGCTGCGGCCTGGAGCATAAAAGCAAGAACGTGTGGCCGGTCAACACCGTTGGCCAGAGCAGAAGATAGGCGTGTTCAAAAATCCGTTTTATATTTCGCCAGAAGATGACAGCAGAGCTGCGGCACCGAGCGCGCCCTTGGAGCGCTGTCGGGCGCTCTGAGCAATTTCCCAGCGCAGCACTCACGGCATGACGCATGTGTGACCCCTCCCAGCGCATTTCTTAAATGGAGACCGCCGCCTGCTTCCGGGACAAGTGCAGATCGCCGCCTCTTTTTACCCAAACACCAAACACCTGTGGCTGCTTCATGGCCGCCTTCGACAGCAACGGCATCTTGCGTTTGCATTCTTTTTGGAAGGAAAGAGCTTCAGTCATGGCATACAGTACACGTCATTTGCCGAGCACACGCGAGAGTTACTGAAAGTCACGTGCTGTGAAACAAGAGTTGCAAAGACCACGCGTGGCAATTCCGGAGGATGTGCTGTGAAAAGAATCGAAGGAATGGGAAATTCTTTGGGATGCTCGGGCAGACACTTTTGTCGTGTTGAGAGCAATTGCAGCTCTGGCAGACTCAGGTGCATTTTACTCCCAAAAATTCGACTCCGAAAAGGACTTTGTTTGTGCCCGCAGTCAACTTGGAAGAGAACCAATAGTCCCTCTCCGAGTCATGTATTGATTGTAGCCCAGGCCATTCAGATGGACCTTTCGACGTTACTCATGGAGAGGAGGGGGCGGGGCCTCACAATCTCACGGTTCTTGACCCGCCAAAGTGTTACTCATAGGGGGGGAGGCGATTGTACTTCAACTCCATTCGAGGGACTCCGGAAAAATGACTCGGCCGATTTGACTGTGGATCGTTGCCTGCCGCGGCCTGCCCGCGCGCTCTCCAACCGAGTGGCGGAGGCCGCAGGCAGGCCGACCGCAGGCAGGCCGACCGCTGTGCGGCGCGCTCTGCTGTCTCAGCAATTCTGAGGAAAGGTGAGGAGAACCCGGCCGACCACCGGGTGGCAGCAGAGGACACGCAAAGCTGCGCTGAGAAGCGCTCCCTCTCCCCTGGAGAGCAGCGAGTGACGATTGCAAAAAAAAACGCAAAGAAGCGCTTTGCTGTCCTCGGCGGGCCTTTTGGACCCGCTGGGCTTCCTGACTCCTTTTCCTCCGAGCGCCGCCACCCGCCCATCCTGAGGTTGACGCGTGGACCACTGGGCCCAGCCCGCCCGGCAGCCCCTTTGGGCCGGTCTTTTGGCTCTGACGAACTCGTCGTTCCATCGGGTGGCTCTCCGGCCCTGCTGAACCCAAGAGCTCAAAGCGAATGAGCCAAGCCACCGAAGTGGGTCCCAGCTCCTCCCCCCGACCTGACCGGATCCAGCTTTCTCATCCCCCTGGAATCAGACAAGTCTGGGGAATTCCCCCCGTTCCATCGTTTGTCTGACCAACGGCCACTGCAGAAGGCCCCCGCCGTGACTTTCCCACCCAGCTTCTCCGGGTCACTCATGAGCACGCTCCCTGGACAGGAATTAAAGGACCCCCCTTGCTCGTCGAACATTTGCCGACGGCATGCAATCAGCGGCTGATAACGATGTGCTCACACGAGGGAGATTCGTTGATCTGGCCAAAGCGTTTGACACGGTTGAGCGCGATCTGCTTTTCCGGAAATGAGATGCTGTTGGTCTCTCCACCGATTCGAAATTATTTTTTCAACTCTTCCCTTCACCTGAGAAATGTATCCGTTTCCTTTCAGGGTCGGCAGCCAGACTTCAGGCTGATGAGCAACGGTGTCCCGCAAGGTTCAAGTTGAGGTCCTCTTCTCGATCTTGATCAAGGAGGCTGTTCCGACGCTCGCATTCATCATCATTTGGCGTCGGAGTTGGGATATCCTCCAAATTCAACAACCATTTCAATTTCTCCCTGTGGCTCTCCAATAAGACGTAAGATCGCGTCCCTCGTGCCACCGATTGGCTGCGTCGTGCCACTCGCGTCTTGTCCAGCTGTACCCGGTTGTCTCGTCAAGTGGCTTGGATTTCCTTGCCGGGCTACGTTCAGTCCGGCTTGGTTCTTGGTTCTTGATTGTTGCCGCCGCCCTCGCTGTCGTTGTCTTCCGTGGCTTTCCCTGTGCTTTGGAGCGCTCCATCTCGTTTGACACCATCCCCGCAAGTCAGCTCTACCTGTGGCCAGAAAGCACAGCGACGAGAGTCTCTTTGCCCAAATGCACACTCAGGCTTTGGCCCGCGCCGCGCCCGAAGCTCACGAGAAAGTCAAGTCGGCGCTCCAGTCATCCAATTCATCCGAGCTCGCCCCGGAAAGAGTCCGTCATCGATGAAGGCGGCGGCCGGGTCCTCATTGCGCTCCAAGTTGGAGCCTCTCGTTGCCTGTCCGCCACTTGAACATCAAAACCGGCTTTGGGAAGATCCTCCGAGACGCCGAGTGTTGAACGCCAAGCGATCCTTAGATTCTCTGACGCGCGGACATCAAACGAGCCGCTCCGTCACGGCTCTTTGTCAGGTCATTCGCCGTTGTTTGACTCAACTCACAAAGGTTCTCTCTTCTTATCTCAAGGTCATCAAGAGGGAGTCTGCATTTTCTCGTTTGTTGCGCCAAGGCTTCAAGTCACTAACAGTAGGCGACATTTGTTTGCAGGCGCACTGTCAAATCCGCCGGCTGTTCAGGGAAATATTTTCCCCAGATTCCAAGTGGCCACCTCGCCGCTGCCTCAGGGTGGAAATTGTTTGGAGCGCGCACGAGGCTTCGGCGCCAAGGAAGTAACCTGTCGCGCGGGGTTTGTCTAGTAGAGTTGCGTGTGGGCCATCCGCCCCGCGCAAAACTTTCCGCTGCTCCCCGCTCTCCTCTTAGCTCGGTTATTGGCTCCCGCTGGAGTGAGATTGCCTGAGCGGCGTCCCGTCACACCGCTCTGGCACGTTTGTGGCACGCACTGCCCTGGCAAATCCAACACGCAAAACATTAAAATGTCCCGGAAGAGAATGGCCCCTTGGGAACTTTTTGGAATGTTTTGAAACACAATCCAGTCAATGACCGGACGCATCGCCGGAGGCAGGAGGCGTCCCCCTGACATTGCTCGCCTCACTCGAATGCATTGATTCCCCCCCCCCCCCCCCCCCCCGCCACACACCCGCCTGCGGGCCTCGTCCGCGCAGCAG